TGTTTCAAGATGCTGCTGATGACGATGATGATGATGATGACGAGTATGTGTCTCAAGATGCTGCCCATGACGATGGTAACGACGAGCATGTGTTTCAAGATGCTGCTGATGACGATCATGATGATGAGTATGTGTTTCAAGATTCTGCTGATGACGATGGTGATGACGAGCATGCGTTTCAAGATGTTGCTGATGATGATGGTGATGACGAGATGCGTTGGGAGCAATGCGTTGTCATAATGAGTTCCACAGAGCATAATCGAGTGGGAAGCACAGCCCACCAAACTAAAGTTATCCTCTCTTTACCCTTCTTCCTCCTCCTCCTCCTCCGCCTCCACCGCCGTCTCTTCCTCCTCACCCCTCTTACTTCCAGTGGGTGAGCGCCGAAGCGCGTTCCAGAGATATTAATAAGCCTTAATATCTCGATTCTCCGGCCTCCGGAGGCCCGAAACAAACAATATTAGCGGATTACAACTTGATTTCTTTTGTTGTTGAGTTACAAAAGGGAATCTTTTGGTGGTGAACTACACATTGTTTATTTTGTGGCAGATTACAAAAGGATTCCTTTTGTGGAGAATTACAAAAGGACTTCTTTTGTGGAGGATCACATGATGATTCTTTTTTGCGGCGGATTACAAAAGGATTCCTTTTGTGGAGGATTACAAAAGGATTCCTTTTGTGGAGGATTACAAAGGGATTCCCCTTGATGGAGGAATACCATGGGATTCCTTTTGTGGAGGATTACAAATTGATATCCTTTGAGGGCTCTCCTGGAAGTGAACCAGGGGACAAAAAAAAAACATAAAATCATTGAAAATTGAGAAAATTGCAAGTTTTCAATGAATTTCCAACGCTTTGAAGCAATAACATATGAAAACACAGCATTTTCACAATCCGAATGCAAAAATGCTGTGTTTTCATATGGTTTGGGCTCCCCTTCCTGGTTCTTTTGTCCGGCCCTTCCCGGCGACGGCGGTTTCGTTCGTTCGTTTGTTCACTTCCACGAGAGCCCTCAAAGGAAATCAATTTGTAATCCTCCACAAAAGGAATCCCATTGTATTCCTCCACCAAGGGGAATCCCTTTGTAATCCTCCACAAAAGGAATCCTTTTGTAATCCTCCACAAAAGGAATCCTTTTGTAATCCGCCACAAAAGGAAACAATTTGCAATTCACCATGAACAGAATTCCCTTTTAATTCCCCACAAAAGAACTCAATTAAAAATCTGCTACAACAGGAATCGTTCTGCATTCCACTATTGTGAGCAATCCCTTTAAAGATGACGAAAAGCATAATCAACAGGAAAGCAAGCAAATGAGAAGTAATAGACCAAAAACCGAGGTGGTACACACACGCACGGTTTTATCAACCTTACGGGGGGGGGGGGGGAATTGGACTGCCCCCCCCCTCTGGGATGGGGGGGGGGTTCGACCCCCCCCCTCCTCCCGTACTTCTCCTCTTTTCCTCTCGGGGCGGCGCTTGCGTCGGCGGCGGCTGGCGGCGGCGGGGACGACGACTTCCTTTTTTTGGCCAGCGCTGGCGCCTGCGGCGGCGGGCGGCGGCGGCCGGGAGCGTCGACGAGGACGAAGTTGACGACGATGACGACGACGACGACGCTCCGCCACCGTGCCTTGGTTTTGGGTCAGTGTCCACATGGATGCCTCTTGGGATCTCGTCGGAGTGCTTTCGGGGGCCTCTGAAGGGCACTTGTGACGCCTCCTCGGCGCCTCGTTGGTCTTTGGGGCCTGCCTCTCTGAGGTGGTGGTGGTGGTGGTGGGCTGTGGTGGTGGTGGTGGTGTTGGTTGTGTCGGTGGTGGTGGTGGTTGTGTGGTGGTTGTTGTTATTGGTGTTGGTGGTGCTGGTGGTGGTAGTTGTGGTCGTTGGGGTGGTTGTGGTGGCAGGTTGTAGTGGTGGCAGTGGTTGTGGTGGTGCGGTGGCTTCTGGGGCTGATGGTGGTGGTAGTTGTGGTGGTGGTGGGTTAAGGCGGTGGTGGTGGTGGTGGCGGCGGTGGTGGTGGTAGTTTGTCGTGGTGGTTGTGGTGGTGGTAGTGGTTGTGGTGGTGGGTTGTGATGGTGGTGGCGGTGGCGGGTTGTGTTGCTGGAGGTTCGTTGTGATGGTGGTGGTTGTGGTGGTGGGTGGTGGTGGTGGTGGTGGTGGTGGTTGTGGCGGTTTGTGGTGGAGGTGGTGGTGGCTTGTGGCGGTGGTGGCGGCGGTGATGGTATTGTTGGTGTTTGCGTGGTGCTTTGTTGTGGTGTGGTGGGTTGTGGTGCTGGGTGGTGGTGGTTGTGGTGGTGGTGTGGTGGTGGTGTGGTGATGGTTAGTGGTGGTGGTGGTGGATTGTGGTGGGGGTCGTGGTGGTGGTAGTGGTTGTGGTGTGGTGGTGTGGTGGTGGCGGTGGTGGTGGCGGTGGTTTGTGGAGGCGGTGGTGGTGGTTGTGGTGGTGGGTTGTGATGGTGGTGGCGGTGGCGGGTTGTGTTGCTGGAGGTTCGTTGTGATGGTGGTGGTTGTGGTGGTGGGTGGTGGTGGTGGTGGTGGTGGTGGTTGTGGCGGTTTGTGGTGGAGGTGGTGGTGGCTTGTGGCGGTGGTGGCGGCGGTGATGGTATTGTTGGTGTTTGCGTGGTGCTTTGTTGTGGTGTGGTGGGTTGTGGTGCTGGGTGGTGGTGGTTGTGGTGGTGGTGTGGTGGTGTGGTGGTGGTGTGGTGATGGTTAGTGGTGGTGGTGGTGGATTGTGGTGGGGGTCGTGGTGGTGGTAGTGGTTGTGGTGTGGTGGTGTGGTGGTGGCGGTGGTGGTGGCGGTGGTTTGTGGAGGCGGTGGTTGTGGTTGTGGTGGTGGCGGTGGCGGTGGTGGTTTGTGGTGGTTGGTGACGGTGGGTTATGCTGCTGGTACTGGTGGTGGTTGTGGCGGTGGTGGTGGTGGTGGTGTGGCAGATTGTGGTGGCGGTGATGGTGGTGGTTTGTTGTGGTGGTGGTGGTCGTGGTGAGTTGTTGTGATCGTGGTGGTGGTGGTGGTTGTGTGGCGGTTTGGTGGTGGTGGTGGTGGGTTGAATTCGTGGTTGTGGTGGTGGTAGTTGTGGTGGCGTCGGTGGTCGTGGTGGCGTGGTGGTTTGTGGTGGTGGTGGTGGTGGTGGTGGTGAGCTGCGGTGTTGGTGGTGGTGCTGCTGCTGGTACCGGTGCTGGTGCTGGTGGTGGGTGGTGGGTGGTGGGTGGTGGGTGGTGGTCGTGGCGTTAGTGGTGGTGGTCGTTTTGGTGGTAGTGGTGTGGTGGTTTGTATTGGTGGTGGGTTGTGGCGATGGTTGTGGTGGTGGCGGTGGTGGTGATGGTGGAGGTAGTGGTGTGGGGGTTTGTGGTGGTGGTGGTTGCTGTGGTGTGTTGTGGTGGGTTGTGGTGGTGCTGGTGGTTTTGGCGTTGATGGTGGTGGTGGTCCTACGATTTGTGGTGATGGTGGTGGTGGTTGTGGTGGTGGTGGGTTGTGGTGGTGGTGGTTATGGTGGTAGGTGGTTATGGTGGTAGGTGGTGGCGGTGGTGGTGGTGTTTGTGTGTTGGTTTGTGGTGGTGGTGGTGTGGCCTTCGGCTCGTTCGGCCACTTTGTTTTTGCTTCGGTTCAGAGTTCTGATGGATGCCTTTTGAGGTCTCGTCAGAAGGGTCTCGGGGGCGCCTGAGAAGCATGTGTGAAGCCTCGGCGCTTCACCCCCTCCGCAGGCAGCCGCGCCGGCCGCCGCGGCGCGCGGTGCCGGGATCCTCACTCTGCCGGCCGCGCTGCTCGATGAGATGAAGGACCTTCGCCCAGCCCTTGCCCAGCTGGCGCAGTCGCTGGGCTTGGACTCCCTGCCTGCGGATGGCACTGCCCCCCAGTCGCCGAGAGTGTCATCCAGCGTTACCTGGCCGACTCTCAGCCCTGCGCGTCGGTTGCCGAGCGCGCGCGGCTCGAGCAGAGCATTGGGAAGGCCCGCTCAGCGCTCACTGTTCTGGGGGATGCCGACGCGTCCGGTGCTGCCAAGGCCCTGCAGGCGCGCCTCCTCGCCGAGCAGGCCACGCTCGATCGCCTCCGCAAGAAGGCCCCTTCGCCGGAGCTCGAATGCACGGCCCTGGAGGGGGTTAAGGTGGCCTATCTGCAACAGGTGCAGACACAGCGCGACCGCGCCGATGTTGGCGCGGCCAAGGCTGCCGCCCGGAGCGCCGAACGCCGGACCTTTCTCGACTCGCTGCGCCCATGCTGCTGCACACGCCGAGTGTGCGCAGCATTGCCGAGCTGCCGAGTCGGAGGTCGTGGCGCTCTTCGACTCCAGGATTGCGGCGGCCCCGTCGGCGGCCGACGCATCAGCTGCGCAGATCCGGCCTCGGCGCCGCTGGGGTCGCAGCTTCTGGTGCCGGCGACGCGCCTGTGCAGCGCAGCGCCGTTCCGGCGGCCCTTGCAGCCTCGTCTCCCGACCTTGCGGAGCTCGAGAGCCAGAAGGCAGTCCTCGACCAGCAGCTGCAGGCCGCGCTGGACAGGTTCGCTGCAGTTCAGGCCGTGGACGCCAGCGACGCCGACTTCGCCCGCATCGCGGAGACGGCCTCCTTCGACGCGTTGCCGAACACCCAGGTCCCGGCAGGACCCCAACTGGAGAAGTGCGGGCGGTGGTACCAGCTCATCAACCAGTGGTACCAGGCTGGCGCCTGCATGCCCTTTACGTTCGCGGACCTCACTTCGGCCCAATGCCCACCAGCGGAGGTACTCGTCACGGCCCAGCTCCTCCTGGGCTTGCAGCGGCCGCTCTGGTTCCCAGGGGCCGCCCAACTCAGCCCGACCACCGTGCTTCCTCGGCAAGTGGTGCGCTTTCTTTACGAGGCCCTGGACAGGCTTAAATGCAATCATGAGAAGCTGGAGGAAAACCGCGTTGCCGCGGCTACCAGCTACGCCATGATCACGGCGAGCCACAAGAAGCGCTGGGCCCAGGTGGCTTGAGGCGCCTCTGTCTGGCGAGCGTGGCCGCCGGCGCCGGGGCCGCCGCCCGCGCCCCCATGGCCGCCGCAGGGGCCGCCAACGTCGCCGCCGCCGCCGGGGCCGCGGACGCGGGCACGGGCACGGGGGCCGCTGGCGCGGCCCAAGGCCTGAAGTATGTATGTATACATAAATATTTCCCTGCTGGCTTGGTTCTTGGGCCGCCGGCGCGGGCGCCAGCGCCGCCAGAGCGGCCGCCGCTGGGCTCGCCGCCGTGCAGCGCAAGGTCTTGGGGCCGCTTGCGCAGCCCTGCCTGGCTGGTCGGCACACTGCTGTTCCTCATTGCCTGCTGCCGGATCGGCGAGGCCAGCCATCCCGGCACGGAACTCCTCGACACCTGCGGTGAGGAGTGGGGGTTCGACGCAGCCGTTGAGGAGCAGACCTCCACCCTGGGCACGGCTATGGATGCTAAGTGAGATTGTGATGTATAGCCACGAGCCTCGAGATCTCTCGAGCCAGTCTTGTGCTGAGCGCATGCTGGCAAGTTGTATTGCCACGGTCCTCGAGATCTCTCGAGTCAGCCTTGTGCCGAGCGCTCAGGATCACCATCATCATCGTCATCGTCATCATCACCAGCATTATCCTCATCCCCGGGAAAATCTTTTATTATCCCCGCCAGAACCCTGAGTTTCATTATGCCCGGGGGATTATTATCGCCCGCACAAGGTTATGTGGTGCAATCCATGCGGCGGCGACGGCGGCCACGGGCGGCACTGCCCGCAAAAGCCGCCACTCGCCCCGAGCGGCGGCGACGGCGACGGCGAGGGCGGCGACGGGCGCTACCGCCCGCAAAAGCCGCCACTCGCCCCGAGCGACGGCGACGGCGACGGGCGGCACCGCCCGCAAAAGCCGCCAATCACCCCGAGATGGTTAAGCCAAGTAAGAAACCTGAATTGCAAGCACTGCTTCGGAACATGGCGAAAGCAACACTTTGAAATCGACTAGCCCTTCATCCGTGTGACTCCCAGAACCGTTCAGGACGAGTGTGCGCGGCACTGGCGCGAGACTCCGTTTTGAAAACCATCGGCCTCTTAGCCGCGTAATTGTTCTTTCCTGGTGGCGCCACAATAAGTAGCCAGCAAGTCTCAGACGAAGCGCCCGGCCCGGCCTGCGGATACGTTCGGTGGTCCAAAAAATGGCGGGAGTTCTATCTTAGGAGCGGGGATGGAGGCAGGATTGCGGGCGCGGGCGTAAGCTCGAAACCCCTGGGGCCCAAGCGTGTCTTTATGCACCGCGGGAGGAGGACGACGATGCGGAGCGGTGAGGAGCAGGTGGAGGAGGGTCAGAGCGGCGAGGTACCCCTTCGTCACGTCGTCCAGCACGACGATCGGGGGCGTCTGCACAGGGCTCGGGGTGCTACCGCCGCCATTGTTTCTCTGCCCGCGCTCGCTCAGGAGAGGAATGATGATGCTGATGTTGATGCAGATGCTGATGCTGATGATGCTGATGCTGATGCTGCTGCTGCTGCTGCTGCTGATGATGATGATGATGATGATGATGGTGATGGTGATGGTGATGGTGATGATGATGATGGTGGTGGTGGTGGTGATGATGATGTTGAGGGTGATGATAATGATGATGATGCTGATGATGATGATGATGATGATGATGATGATGACGATGATGATGACGGTGGTCATGGTGTTGCTGATATTGATGTTGGTGTGGTTGATGATGGTGTTGATGTTGATGCTGATGTTGATGTTGCTGAATCGTATGATGATGGTGTTGATGCTGCTGCTGATGCTGATGCTGATGCTAATGCTAAGTACTATGATGATGATACTAATACGAATGCTGATACTAATGCTGATTGTGCTGATGATGATGGTGGTGGGGGTGATGGGGGTGATGAGGATAATGAGGATGATGAGGATGATGGGGACGAGACTGCGGATGAGAACGAGGAGGAGCAGGAGGAGGAGTCGGAGGCGAGGAAGGATAAGAGACGCCTATTGACGACGTCAGGTGGAGGAGGCGAAGGAGGAGCAGGAGGAAACGGGGGAGGACACAGATGAGGAGGCCTCTGCCCTTCCCAGCGGTTTCTGCAAGGCGCCGCGGAGGTTTCAGGAGGTCCTCCATGACGACGACAGCGTCCTTGACCCCTCTTCTCCGCTTCCTGCATCGGCCCTGTCGCGTCCAACGAGCTTCACGTGTTCAGCGTAATTCGGTCGAGTGCTGGGGAAGCGTTTGCGAAACATACCGATCCTCCATCACGACGACAAGCTTGGAGAGAGGGGGGAGCAGGAGGAAAACGACGAGGTAGCCTCTGCATCGCGCCGAGAAGTCCCCCCTCTCCCCCGCCAGTGGGGCGCTGGCGTCTGGGGCTTTGTCCTGGGCCGTATATGGTGACGCCGTTGGGGCTGTCCTGTGCCGCTTGGGGGACTTTATGGGGCTTTTCTTTTTCTGCCCTTTTCGCACATGTTGGCTCCTCTTCAAACCTTCTGGAGCAGAGAGGCACGGAACACCCAACTTACGAATTCAAAAAGCCAAAGGAATGATCTAGTTTTCGAGCGAGTGTGGCCCCTTCGTTGGTGTTTTCAAAGCCTCGCTGGGGCCCCGCTGCAGCCGCACAGGATCTTCTTGGGGGCTGTTGAGTGTCTCTTAAGTCGGCGGCGAGCGAGGGGGGGGAGTGAGAAGGAGAACGCCTTCTCAGCAGTAGGCGGGACTTCTCAGAAGCCTCGCGCCTTATGAGAGGTTTTCTGTGTCTTCGGGGAAGGCTTACAACACTTCTCAGAAGCACCTGGGACTTCCGAGCCTTCTCTGAGAAGGCCCGCCCCTTATCTCTTCCCCCCCGCGCTAGCCGCCAATTGAGGCAAGGCTGGACCTCTTGGGTGGCCTCCCTGGACCGTCTTCGAAAGCTTGGAGGGCTCCCGGGAGGGGAGGACGGCGCATGTTCCCGGATGTGATGAGACTGGGCCCTTAGCAGATTCACAGGAGTTTTCAGTCGGGCATGTCCCTCTACAGGAGGAACATTCGGAAGTATTTCCTAAAATGGTCTGGGGACGATTGTTCGACTACTTTTTCACTATTCTTGAGTACTTTTGACTTGTTGTTGATACTTTTTTCTTATATCCGCCCGTAGGAGGACAGACCCGACATAACCTTAGCAGACTCACAGGAGCCCTAGCCGACAGCGCGTGGCATGAACACCGCGCCTCGCCGTGCCAGGGAGGGTACGGTGGCGGACGCTTTCGAGCGGTTCCCGAGCGTGCCCAGGGAGGCCTCGCGGGAGGCACCGCCCAACGTAGCCGCCGTCCTCCCCGCAGTTTTGGTGCGCGCTCCTCCCTTTCCTCAGGGGAGGAACAGGTACCCACACCTCTCTACCCTTCCCCTCGCTTTCCCCCTTCTTGGGCCTCCTGGGAGGCCCTCGTCGCCACCGCCGGGTTCTCCTCGAAATCCTGGTCAGAACGCACCCCGCGAGAGGTCCGGGGTGTAGCGGTATGGGCACCTGTTGGTCTCCCCGTTTCCCCCTCCTCTGCGGGTCACGTGCCGCGGCAGGTGCCCCCCCAGAAGATCGACAACGTCATAGGCGTGGTGAAGGCGCGGCGCGCGACTGCGATCGCCCGGACGTCGCGAGCGCGCGGCTGGCCGTGTGCCGTCGGAGGCCGTCGGAGTAGTTCGGCAGCACATTGGCCTACCTCTGGAGGTTCTCCCCCAAGCCCAGCGAGGGCCATAGCACGTCCAAAGACTCCGATTACCGACGCCCCTCGCTGGAGAGCCCTCGTCGCCACGGCTGGATTCTCCTCGAGATTCGAGGTGTTGGTCGAAGCGCATCTCGAGAGAGGTCCTGGCAGTAGCGGTATCGGTATCTGCTCGCTCCCCCAGCTGAGCGACGGAAGAAACCGGGGTCGATTGCGAGGAGCACGTGCCAGCATGGGCCTCGGCGGAAGGTCGCTGTTCTCGCGTAGGACCGTTTCTTCCTGTCGCTCACTCGGTGTCGACCTTTTTTCCTTGAGATCCAACGTCACGAACACAGTGCAACATCGTAGAACATCACGCCTGAATGGCTGGACCTCACTTTTCTGTTGCGTGTTCTCCAGATCCGTGAGAGTTCCGGGGCCCACCTCCCGGCGAAAACGCCCGTTGCGGATCGGGGCTCAAGAGATGGGGGTTAATGCAAACGGGGTCAGTCAGATCGCCAGATGTCGCAGGATCCTGCAAGACCAGGGGTGCATTGACCCCTGTCTGCGTGCAGGATGTTGAGGGATCTTGCAGGATCGGGAGAAGGTCGGCTGACCCGTTTCTGGATTGACCCGTGTCAGTAGATACCCGAGTGAAAATTGCAACGCCCGGATCTCAGGGTAGACGCTTGTCGTTGAAAAATACATTTCCGGATTCCCAGATCCCAATCTAATTCAAACGATTCCCTATTTCAACTATCGATACGCATTTGTTGTGTTGTGGTATTTTCTGGGAGGGCCTGGGCCCAATCTATTTTGTCCGCCTTTCTACTTCGTGTTGCTAACTACTTCTTCTCGCGAAAGACCCGCTTTCTTTCGTCGCTCAGCTACTGCGGACCTTCCCTGAGGATGCAAACCCAGGGAGGTTCATTTCAGCATCGGCGCGGGCATTTCCATTGTCAAAAGCTGGCCCAGTCCAGCATACTCCCGCTGAATCTTGACCTGTTATCATCGAACAGTTGTTCTCTTGCGGAGCCATATCGCTTCTCGCCGCTTGAAGTGATACTCCGCCCCCGGCCCCCTCAGTATGGGATCCCACCAAGATCCGAACAGGATTCCAACAAGCCACCGATCAGAGCCCAAGTAGAGCCCACGAGTTTTGCAACATGAGCCCACCAGGATCCAATCGGGTCCCAATAGAAATCTGGTGGGGTTCACTGCAAAGAGAATCCCGCCGAATTATCGAGTGAATTCACTCGTTTCGGTGCCCTCGCTGTCGCTCGGCGGTTCCCCCCCCCCCCCTGTGAGCTCATTTTGAGTGCTACGGATGCAAGGTGGGAATCGATAGTCACAGGTTAGGGCTACTTCGGCTCAGTCCCATCTAGTCTGGCGCAGTCCCGCTGAGCCTCATCTGATGTGGGCAAACACGGGCTTCAGTCTAGGCGAATCTGCCCTTGATGGCCGATCCGGGCCAACGGCCCCTTCACCAGGCAGGCATCATGGCCCCGAGTGGCTCGCGCGAAGACCTCCCGGCAGCTGCCTCCTCCGAGAGGGACGCCCGCGCGGCGCAGGCGTACACCACGCGCGTGGGCTCCGGGCCGTTCCCCACGGAGCTGCAGAACGAGATGCAGACGCTCGAGGACTTCGCCGGGGAGTACATCGGCCCCGAGGCCGCCGCTCTGGCCAGAAGCGGCGACAGGGGCGAATAGCCCACAGGGGAAAGCAATGCACGTGTTCAGGTGCGCCAATGATTTATGCCTTCGAAGAGGCTCCTGGGCGAATACGTGTAATGCCCGCGTCTGGGCTATTCGCCCCTGTCGTCACCGCCGAGCTCCGGCCAAAATCAGGGGGACGCACAATGACAGGAACATAACAACTCGGAGGTCGGGTCCAGCGCGGATCCGAAGAGTCCGCGCGGACCTCCGAGTCTTCCTGTTTTTATGTCCTTCTTCCTTCCACTGGAAGCGCCCCCGCGCCGCGCGCTCGCGCGCGCCGCGGCCGCACCGAGGCCCATCCCGGGCAGGGCCTGGGCTTGGAGGTATCGCTCCAGCGTGTTCCGGAGCGCTCCGAGAGCGTCCCCACGCGCGCTACGGAACGGCCGCGCGGCGCCTGGTGCCCTCCGCCCGGCCCGGCGCGAGGGGTGCACGCCCGTTTGGCCGGAGGTACCTTCGTTGCGGGCCCACTGGGGTTCAGTCGGGCCTGTCCCCTGGGGTTAAGCCGGCAAGTCAAAAGAAGGCGACGCATTGTATGGGAACGTTTTTTTTTATTACTATGTTTTGTCATGTCTGATATTTGCTTGACTATTTGTTCATTGTTTTCCTCCAAAGGCAGCCTGTAGGGGGACATGCCCGACCCAACACTCGGGCCCCTCGATCGCGGAACGCGATGCGATCGGAACGACTTGCGCGCTTGTGTTTGGTTCCCCCGCGGCCCCCCGCGTGCTGCCGAAGAAGGGCCGAACCAGCAACACACACCCATACCCATAGGGGGGTCGGAGAGGGCTATGGGTGCGTGTTGTCGGATGGGGGTCCCCGCTCGAACGGGAGCGTTCCCCAGGGCCCGACAATCCGCACCCATACCCATAGCCAGTCCTCCTCCCAACGACCCCCCTATGGGTATGGGTGCGTGTTGTCCGTTCGTCAAAGGAGGGCCTCGCGATGGGCCCCCGAAGGCCCCCCCGCGCTCGCGCTCGCCGGGGGCTCCGGAGAGTCCAGGGGGAGGCCGGCCGGCCCTCCCCGAGGGCCACGGCCGCGGGCCCGCGGCAGCTTCCCAGGAGGCGTCGAGGCGGGAGGGGCCGTGCGCGCCCCCCGGGCGTGCTCGCGTGAAGGTTCTCTTGGTCTAGGCCTCCTAGCTGGGGTCGGAGTAGATGGGGTCGGAGGATCGCGCAGCGTCGCCGGTGCATCGGCGATGTATCGGCGATGCGGTTCGACGTGGGGCCCAATTTTCTCCACGCCGACGTCGCAGATGTATCGCCGACGTCGCCAGTGCATCGCCGATGCATCGGCGATGTATCGCCGATGCATCGGCGATGCGGCGAGATCCTCCGACCCCATCTACGCGGACCCCATCTAGGAGGCTTCTACTTGGCGAGGTCCCCAAGCATCTGCAGCTGCGAGTACTCCAGATTTCGTGATAAAAGAGGGAGAGGGGGTCACAACCCTCCCAGAGGAGCAGGTTCAGACCCCCCCAGACCAGCCATACAAGGGCGGCCTTTTGCCTAGACCCCCCCCCCCCGAATCCTCCAAGACAGCTCAGATCAGACCCCTTCCCCGAAATGTGACCCCCGCACACTTTGTAATGGAATCTGGAGAATCGTCTCCGGTGGAGCTCCCTGTGGTTCCACTGGGGCCTTCGGTGGAGCTCCCTCTTGGGCCCCGAAGCGTGTGAGAGGTGTGTGTGTGTATGTGTGTGATAGTGAGAGTGTGGGTGTGTGTGTGTGTGCCGGAATCGGCGAGGAATCGCACGTGGCCGCACTCATATGGAGCTTAGGTGGAGCTCCCTGTGGGGCCGTGAGACGTGTGAGCGGACGGGCGTGCCATCCACATGCGAACCCCTTCGAACGTCGCCATTCGGGCCGTAGGTGCCATGTAAACAGGCGCGATGCCCACATGCGAACGTCGCCACAGGGGCCTTCGGCGCAGCTCCCTGTGGGCCACGAAGCGTGCGAGGGGTGGGCCGAAGCAGCAGACACGTCGAGGGCGGAGGCAAGACTGGGAGGAGACAGGAGGGGGAGGGCAGCGGGAGGGGAAGGAGGACGCGGGGCGTTGCCTCTTCGAAGCGGTGGTCTCGGAGCAGAGTTACGACGGAAGGCTTTTTCGGCCATCTTTGGCCTCAAGGGGCCCTCCTTGGGCCGCGGCACCGCCAACAATCTGCTCAGGATGAGAAGACAGCCCTGCTGGAGAAGGGCCAGACTTTCGCGGTTCGCCGATGGAGCAAATCAGGACATCGCACGTCGGGCCGTCGTCGGGCCATGCGAGTTCCCCACAACCGCGAAGGGTGGGAGACTCCAGAGCACTGCAAGAAGGTATGGCTTTCGTGGTTTTTGGAGTTTCCCATGAGTTCGCACGCCTCCGAGCCTCGAAGGGCCCCTCGCTCGCGGTCCCGAGGCCCGATGTGAGGGCCCCGAGAGGTCGAACACTTGTAGGAACCGCCGTATCGATTTGTTTCGAGACGCTGGATGTCTGGGCACCCAGGGGGGAGTGGCATCCGGCTTTCGCTCCAGGTGGGGCCCGGCCCGAGGAGACGAGATCGGCGGCCGAGACGCGGGGCGCGGCGCAGCTGCGCGCAGCAGCTGCCGTCACCACGTCTCCTGCCCCTCCGCTCCGCTTCCTCTTGCCATCTCCACTCTTTCACCGTCCAGCACCTCCTGCTCCCCTGCCCCATTCCGTCTCCTCCTCCGCCTCCTCCTCCCCCGCCGGCGCTCGCGAGCCTCCGCGAGCCCGCAGGGGAAGGGAAGGGAGGGAGGAGGTGGAGGAGATACAGCAGCAGCAGCATCAGCAGGACTCCTCCTCCTCCTCCTCCTCCTCCTCCTCCTCCTCCTCCTCCTCTTCCTCCGTAGCCATTTTGGCTCATGCTGGCTTGAACCCCCCCGGCGCGGCGGGTGGTGCGAGCATGGTGGCTGCGGGAGGCGCCCTTGCGGGTGAGGCCTGGGAACCGGCGGCGGCGCGCAAGGCTCGGTGTGGCGCCGCGCTCGGGAGGCTGCTGACCGTGCCGTTCACAACGCAGCGGGTGCAGCCAAGCAGCTGGAGGAGCGGCTCGCTCTCGCGGAGCCCGCCCTTTCGAGCCTGGTGGGCGACGCTGCGCTCGCGGATCGCACTGCGGCGGTGATCCCAGCGCTGCAGCATCTGGCTGCGGGTCGAGTTCCGCCTTGGCTGGATCGCCTCGGCCGCAACGTGGCGCTTCATGCCCGTGCTCACGCGCTGCAGGGGCGGATGGACACGGCCGCCAGGGGGCAGCGGCTGTGCGCGGAGAGAGGCGTGGATCTCTCGAACTCCTCGGTCGAGATCCGCGCCGCGGAGCACGTGGCGTCCAGGGCCGGAGGGGACGGGCTGCCGGCCCCACAGGCGTCGACGGCTTGGCGGCGGGAGGCTCCGCCCTAACGCCCTGGCGCTGGGGCCCACTTCAATATGCGAGAGGGAGTGGGGGACCTCCGCGCGTTGCTGGAGGCACCGTGCCTGTCATCGTCTGCACGGTTTGGCTCCTGTGCGAGTCGTTCTTCTCCTTGCGGTTCGGTTTCGAGCAGTCCGTCGCGGACGCAGGACGGAGGCCCTCCAGGACCCCCTCAGTGCGCATCCTGACATCGAGGTGGGGCTCGGGGAGCGGCCGCCCGACTCGCTGGAGCAGGAGCGGCGGGACCTCGAGGCTGGATCAGAGGCCTTCCGACGACGCGTTCGAGACCGTGGGCGACTTCGCTGGCGATTCGGGTTTTCGTGTTGCGTGCCCCACTGCAGTTGTACAGTCGGGAAGGGCTCTTGAGATGGCCAAGACCCAGGTGGGTGGGAGGAAAAACCCGCGCGGGTTGTGGAGCCCAGGTGGCGGGAGGAGTGGCCACAACCTCATGCCCTGCTGGCTCAGAAGATGGCGTGAAGCGCGCATTCCCCGACGTCGAGAAGGGCTCAGGCAGCGTGCGGAGCTGCCGAGGCCAGGACCAAGATGGTGGGAGGAGGGGTCCCCGCGGGTTGTTGGACCCAGGTGGTGCGTGGAGCGGCCACAACCTCACGCCCTGTCGTTGCTGCAGGTGTTGTGAAACGCGTGCATTCCCGACGTCGGGAAGGGCCTAGGTGGTGGGAGGAGAGGCCGAGGCCCAGGCGGCCCAGGTGGTGGGAGGAGAGGCCGCGCGCCCTGCCCAGGTGGTGGGTGGGGAGGCTGGCGTGCATACCCCGACCAGATTCTACACTGACAGAGCGGCGACTTCGCCACGCCTTTTCTTGGAGTCTCGGCTGCAGCCTGTCTGTGGCGGAGGTTGGGGCTTCCTGCATTGGAGCTGCCCCGATGGCGCCGCTGATGCTGGGGCTGCCTTGCAGGAGAGCTTGGCTCGCGCCGCTCGCCTCTCCATGCCTGCCTGGCAGGCGCTGGACGGTCATGGTGTTCGAGATCCGCGAGAGGGTGAAGGGGCTGCGTCCTCACCTACCCCCATTCCGCTTCCCGTGGTCCTACGGCCGCCACGAGCCGCTCTGCAAGTGCGAGTCGTGCATGAAGAAGGGGACCGCGAAGTCCGATGTTGTTCATGTGCCAGCGGATTCCGGACGTCAGAGGGCTTCTGGGATCCGTCGTGGTCGCCGTCTCCTCAAGAAGGGGGCCACGCGGGCAGACTCGACGGAACAGGGCCAGGGGGCCGCCGCGGCTCACGGGCGTCGACGTGAGCTGGCGGAGCCGCCTCCTTTCCCCCCCCCTCCTCCTCCTCTTTCGCCTCCCCTTAGTCTTGCCTCGGTGCGAGCGTGGCGACGGGCGGCCCGCGGAGTACTAATACTTGTCCTCCTCCTCCTCCTCCTCCTCCTCCTCCTCCTCCTCCTCCTCCTCCTCCTCCTCCTCCTCCTCCTCCTCCTCCTCCTCCTCCTCCTCCTCCTCCTCCTCCTCCTCCTCCTCCTCCTCCTCTCCTCCCTCCTCCCTCTCCCTCTCCTCCCTCCCTCCTCCTCCTCCTCCTCCTCCTCCTCCTCCTCCTCCTCCTCCTCCTCCTCCTCCCTCCTCCTCCTCCTCCTCCTCCCCCCTTCCTCCCCCTGCGGTCCGCGCCCCCCCCCCCCCGCCTGCCTCGCCACGGCCACCTGCCCTCCGCCGCCTGCCGCGTCGCGCTGGGCGCCCGCCGGCGGGGCGCGCGCCGCAGAGGTCAGCCTGGAGCGCCGAGGGCACGAGCGGGGGCCGTACAAGCTCGAGAAGGGCCAGACGGTCCGCCGCCCAGCAGTCTCAGGCGATGGCAAGCATGCATGCATCAAGGGGGCGTGGATTGGCGACGGGTCCCGTTTCCATGGGAAATCGCGGATTTCAGCCGCCCAACGAGGCGGCACCAGCCGCATTTTGTCGAGGGCACCTCCCCCGATCCATGGTTTTCGCGACCGCGCGCTTAATCCATGGATCGTTAGTCCACGCTTGCGCGCCCCCGGCAGTCATGTGAGGCGTTCTAACGAGGGCCTTGCTTTCGAGGGCCGAAGGAGTTGTCATCTCTTCCTCGGCGGAAGGTCGGCGGAAGTAAAGCGAGGCCGCCTCCGCCGGGGGACGCTCGGCGGAGGGCGGCGGCAGTGAAGAATGCGCCTCCATGAGATGAAAACGTTTTTGTTTTCAGGGTTCCCGAAATCGCCTATGTGGTTCCACAAGGGGCCGCAGGGATATGGACCCCTCTGAGGCGGGCGAGGCCGATTTCTCGAGTCCGCTCGTCTCCGCCCGCAGGGCCGTCGCGGGACGCTCTCACCCGCTCTTGATGGGGAAACAGAGAGGTACCGATACCGCTACTCCCTGGACCTCTCCCGGCGTGCGTTCTGACACGAATTTCGAGGCGAATCCAGCGGTGGCGACGAGGGCCCCCCAGGAGGCCCAGAAAAGAGGAAGACGAGGCGAGGGTGGCGCTATGGGGGTACCTCTTCCTCCCCGGACTTCGAAGTCTGCAGAGCAGCGGCGCGGTCTCTCGGAGGTCCCTTCCGCCGGCATCGCTCGGACGTGTGCATTTTTCCTTCGGCGAGGGCCATCGAGGAGCCTCCCTGATCATTTGGCGAAAAAACCACGCACGAAACCGAACAGAACACAGGGAATGGACGTCCGAGCGATGGCGAGGGAGACGCGTCGGCCCCCTTCGGCGGGCCGAGGAGGGCGCGGCCGCCGGGGAGGCGCCGCGGCTCGCCGGGGGGCGGCGTCGATCGAGGAGGGCGGCGCTGCCAGAGGCCGCGCGCGCGCTCCGCGAGGCAGCGGCGCCCCGGCTCCGTGCTGATTTGACTCTGCGGGCGTCCTCCACGAGTGCTCTCTCGGTGGCTCTGGGTGTGGCTGAAGCAACTCTCCTCCTGCTCCTCCTCCTGCTCCTCCTCCTGCTCCTCCTGCTCCTCCTCCTGCTCCTCCTCCTCCTCCTGCTCCTCCTCCTCCTCCTGCTCCTGCTCCTCCTGCTCCTCCTCCTCCTGCTCCTCCTACTGTTCCTCCTGTTCCTCCTCCTGCTCCTCCTCCTCCTCCTCCTGCTCCTCCTCCTCCTCCTCCTCCTCCTCCTCCTCCTGCTCCTGCTCCTCCTGCTCCTCCTCCTCCTCCTCCTCCTCCTCCTCCTCCTCGTTGGCTTTGGTCTCCGGCCGCGGGGTGTGCTGCAGCAGTCTTCAGGGCGCGGGAGACGGGGGCACAGCAGGCGGGGGTGCGGGGAGGCGCCGAGTTCCACGTGTGGCGATGCCCCCGTTTACAGGGGGCCCTGGGCGCCGTGGGCGGGGGTGCAGTAGACTCGGGGGAGCGCAAGACCCGGGTTTGCCAGGACTCGGGTTCGCCATCGTTTTTTGATGACCGCGCCTCGGATTCTGACGAGGAGGAGTTTCGCGGGATGTCTGCAGCGGGAGGCCTCGTCAAAATGCAGGCTCGGCCTCGTCATTTTTTTGACGACCTCGTCGGGGATTTCGGAGTCCCCTGTACCCAGGTCTTACGTCCCCCTGATAGACGGGGGCACATGGAGGGGCCCAAGCCCCCGTTTGGCTGGACCCCCGTTCACGGGGGTTCAGCTCGTGGGCGGGGGTGCAGTAGACGGGGGCACCTGGAGGGGCCCACGCCCCCGTTTGGCCGAACCCCCGTTCGCGGGGGTTCGGCTAGACGGGGGCCCTGGGCGCCGGGGGCGGGGGTGCAGTAGACGGGGGCACATGGAGGGGCCCAAGCCCCCGTTTGGCTGAACCCCCGTCCACGGGGGTTCAGCTGGACGGGGGCCCTGGGCGCCGTGGGCGGGGGTGCAGTAGACGGGGGCACATGTGGAGGGGCCCACGCCCCCGTTTGGCTGAACCCCCGTTCACGGGGCTGCAGCCACACGGGGGTCCTGGGCGCCGTGGGCGGGGGTGCAGCAGACGGGGGCACATGGGAGGGCCCCATCCCCCGTTTATGGCTACACCCCCGTTCACGAAGCGCCGAAGCAGTGGCGCCTCTCACCCCGAGCGTCCCGGGCTTGCCTGGATGGCTGCGAGCGGCCGCCAGAGAGCCGAGTGCTGGCGCGAACGCCAGACCGTGGTCCGAATCCGCCCCCTCCCACCCCCAGATCTTATACGGCGGCTTGGTTCTCTCTGCGACCACTTGGAGTAATCGCCCCCTGCGCGCAGAGGAGAAACAGATACTGATGCCGCTGCTCATCCTGGAGAGCTCTCTTCGCCACGGTTGGATTCGCCTCGGAATCCTGGTCGGACCGCTCTTCGGGAAATGTCCACGGATTGGCGGTATCAGACGTTAGGCCTGACCGACCCGCCCGTTAGGGTCCGCCCGCCCCGACCGCTCATTAGTGTCGCGCCCGCCCGACCCGCTTGTTGTGTCATCGGCGGTATCTTCGGTGTCGTTGCCGTCGTCTTCGATGTTAAACGACGTTGTCGTCCTCGCCTTCGTCGCATTCGTGGTCGTTGTCGTCGGAGTTGGCTCCCCAGCTGCGTGTCCAATCGACGATGGGGATCAGATACTCCCCGCTCGGGCTCACTCGGCACCAGACATCCTGCAGATTCTGAGCCCGCGCAGATCAGATCAGCAAGCCACGCGCAGGGGGGGGTAAGCGGGAGGAGGAGGGAATGCTTTTTGGAAGCACCCCTGCTTCTTAGAAGGTGAGGGCCTTGTCTAAAGGCGGAAGGGCGGGCGCCTTCTGAGAATCAGCCTCCTTCTGAGAAGCCTCCCCCCCGCCCCCTGACCCCCCCTGACTGCACCGCCAGGTGTGGAGACCGGAGAGGTCTTCGGCGGTTGGGTCTGCGGACGTCGCGGATGTTCAGGCAGCAGGAGGGTCGGTGGTTCAGAGCTGGGGTCCTGGGGGATGCGGGGCCCGAGGACAGGAGCGGCCCTCAGGACACCCAGCCTCCGAGCCACCACCGAGGGGAGCAGAGCGAGGAAGGGGAGCGGCGGGGCCAGCGGCGCCGCGGCCCCCAGAAATCGGGGGGGGGGGGGGGGGGAGGGAGAGGCTCGATGGGGGAAATGCATGGACCCCTCGAGCACCTCGAGGCGCAGGGGCCACGTCAAGCGGGGGGGGGGGAGGGAGAGGCTCGATGGGGGAGATGCCTCGACCCCCCCCAAATCGGCCACTCCAGCCTCGGGGTGCTCTCCAGCAGCTGCGCCTCGCCGGGAGGCGTCGGGGGGGGGGGGGCGGGGGGGCTGGATCGTCCCGGAGGGCCGCGGGAGAGCCGAGACGTGGCCCGAAAGCCAAGTGGTAAGTCGGGCCTGGCCCTCTTACCAAAAATAGTAAACAAAAATAGTCTGGGGGCATTTTTTTTGTTTTTTGACATATGTTTGAACATCTTCGTTTTTTCTTTCTTTCTTTTTTATTAAACAAAATGTTTGAACATCTTTGGGGTATTTTTTTATGTGTCGTCAAAAACCTCCCTTCAGGGAGCAAGGCCCGACCTAAACCAAGTGGCAACGCCAGGGGAGAAGAGGCTCAGGGGGGCACGCATCGACCCCCAAGCGACCACCGCGCCCAGGAGCGTGAGGATGTGCTACTCTGGCGCACGTCGCCGATCGGCGATGCACCGCCGATTCCAGCTCGAGGTTCCCCCCCTGAGCTGGTCCCTTGCTGACGTCCCGTCCCCCCTAACTCCTCCTCCTCCTCCTCCTCCTTCTCGTCTTCCTCCTTCCTGCTCACCCCGGCAAGACGTCACGATCCCTTGAGGCAGGAGCCTTGAGGCGGGGGCCAATGCAAACGGGTGTCAGCCAGAGCGTCCGACCTTGCAGGATCTTGCAGGGCCAGGGTCGCATTGACCCGGGCTTTGGCGCAGGATCCTGCAGGACCCTGCAGGATCTTTCGCATTGACCCGGGCTTGGGTGCAAGATCCTGCAGGATTCTGCAAGGCCTGTCTGACCCGGGTTTGGATTGACCCGGGTCAGAAGATCCCCGATTATGTCAGTTTGTGATTGACAAATTGCCGGACATCCCCCCCCCGGGGCTGATGAGTAGACCCCGCGGGGCGCGAAGCATGTTTTAATCACGTGCGCCAGGGGGTCGTCGTTGCCGCCGCCGAGGGGATTGTGTACCCCCCTGCATGACAGCCTCAAAACGATTGCCTTTCGTATAGGAGGAGGTCGTACACATCCGAGGCGATTTCGTTTCCCCTCTTAGGCGTCGTCGCCGTCGTCGCCGCCGCCGTCGTCGTCGCCGTCGTTTCTTCGTCGTCCTTGTCGTCGTTGTCGTCGTCGTCGTTGTCGTCATCGTCGTCGTCGGTCGTCGTCGTCGTCGTTGTCGTTGTCGTATTCGTCGTCGTCGCCGTCGTCGAGGACGACTACAGAGACCACGACCGAGGGGAAGAAGTGGATTGCCCTCTTTCTGGACGAAAGGCTGAGGAAGGAAAGGGGTGGGTGGGAAACCTGCTACGCGCAGCTGGTTTCGGTCGCCCGCCGAGAGGCCACTCCTCGATGCATGGCCGTTTTCGGCGCAAGGGGGCGCCCCGAAAATCAGCAATGCGAGTTGCTGGGCAAGTCCCCGCTTGGCCACGCCCCCTTCTCGTCCAGCCCGCCTTGTTCACGGGCCCGCGAGGCAGCTGGTGCCCCCTGGCTGCGGCCAGGGCAAAGGAAGCGCATCTGTTCTACAGAAAAGAGCACGGAAAGTGCGGGGCGAACGCCGGCAGCAAATCTTCTTCAGTTCGATCGGCGCTAATCACCAGCGCCGACGCCGTTGCTTTTCAATTTGGCGGGCGCCACCCCGCGATTCGCCCGAACAGGGAAACGATTTATTTCAACACGCGCCCCCGACTGATTTGTTGGTCACAAGCTGACATTCGAGGATGCCCAGTGTAAGTGTTCACGAAAAGGTTGTCCATTGTGTAAGTTCGGCGAACGTTGCACAAAAAAAGGGTTTTTAGTCGGCCAGCAGCGCGGAGTAAACCATCCCCGCCATGCTCCTCCTGGTGTGAGCCATCCCCGCCATGCCCCTCCTGCTCTTCATCCAGCCCGTCCTTCCGTTCTTCACCATCCGTTTCCAATGCTCAATTCCCCCTCGCTTTCTTCCTTCCCACCCATCATCCCCTCACTGCTGCAGTCCACGGCGTCGGCTAGTCGAGCCCCGCCTCGTTGGCCACTCCCCCACGCCCAGCGTGGAACGTCGACGCGTGTCGAATGATGAGGGGGGGGGCGGGCCGAAAGAGCTGCCGGCCTGTTCCGCCTTCTTCCCCCCCGCACACTGCTGATTTCCCCTGCTCTCTCGTCCTTCTGCTCAGTTGCCCTCCCGAGGCGACGGAGGAGAACGAGGAGAAGCGGAACAACAGGACAAACGAACGACATAATTCGGCATGGACATAGCATTGTCGGAGGCCCGCGCGGATGTTTCAGATCCGCGACGGGCCCCCCCTGGAGGCGCCTCTGGCGCTGCAGTTGGCGCGTTGCGCGCGCCAGGGAGGGAGGTCCAGCGCCAATCCAAGCAATCCGCTCGGACCATTCATGTTTATGATGGTCTCTCTTCTTCTACAGTCAGGACGCTGAAAGCCCTAGCCAGGTTGGGGAGCCTGCTCGAAGCCGAGGTTCGCCGTGGCCACGGAAGCCCCTGCGTTCCCCATTCCCGTCGGCGAGCGAGGGCGGGAAGTGAGAAGGACAGGCCTTCCCAGAAGATCCGGAAGTCCCCTGGCTTTTTGAGAAGATTTCTAAGCCTTCCTTGAAGACGTTTTTTTCGGAATGCGCGAGGGTTCCTGATAAGTCCCGCCGCCTTTGAGAAGGCTTTCTCCTTCTTAATTCCACCCCTCGCCCGCCGCCGATCCTCGGCCATCTTTCTGGCAGCACGACGGCCGCAGAGAAGAAGGCGCCCTCCCCGCGGCGCGTGCCCCTCTGCGTCGCAGTCGCGCGTGCTTGGCTTCCTCCCTCTGGGGCGATCCCCGACACCCCGCGCGAGCCTCGCGCGCGCGCAGGTCAAGATCGGGGAGATGCTGCAGGAGGCCGGGCGCCGCCGCCCCTCGAGGCAGAGCTCGACCCAGACGGTGCTTCGGCGACTTCGTGGACCCTTTTTCGTTTCGACCTCGTTCTCCCTCCTCCTCCTCCCTTCTCCCTCCTCCCTCCTCCGCCCTCCTGCGGGGACAGGCCCCATGCTGCCACCCTGCTTGGCCTCGCGCTTGGGCCTTTGGCTCAAGACCCCAGGGAAAAGGCCGCGCCGGGGGGGCCCTCCACCAACCTCAGGTTATGAGCCCTTCGCTCCCAGCGCCCGCATCTTCCCCTTAGCCTTAGTTCGCGCGCGATCGATCGGATGGCGGACGCTGCATCTGTTCGGATCCCCGACGACGACGACGACGATCTGGCTGAAGTCACTCCTGATCGCCTGTCGGGTGATGTTCCGTCCACTGCTGTTCCGAAAACACCGTTCACACGTAGGTCATCGCCACAGACGCCAGCACAGGCAGGAAGGCAAGCAGCACCTGCGCCTCTCTGGGCTGACAGTCGTGGCGAGGCGCCTCGCCCGACTGGACGCCAGGAGGGGCCCCCAGGGTTACCTACACCACCACAGCCCACTACGACTACACCAGCACCGACCGCTCCACCTGACGTGAACGCTTTCCTCATGTGCAAGCTTGGAGAGAGTCTCTCCAAGGTCGCACGCGAGCTGTCTGCCATGCAGTCCGGCGGCGGCGGGGGCGGCAGCAGCTCGAGACAGCCATTGCACGCCCTGCCGAAAAGTCCCCGGGCCCTTCCGTCGGTGAAGTCGTGGCGCGCGTGGGTCAACACCAAGCTCGCCAGCTGGTGCGGCCTGCAAAGTGCAGGCTTTGCTGATGCGGTGCAACTGGTCCTGAGTGACCCGGAACTGGACACTTCACCGGTGCACAACAACCCGGCCTACACCACAGCCAACAAGGCGTTAGCCTTCGAGCTCTGCGGGCTCGCGGACGAAGAGTTATGCCTTTATTTTGACGAAGACCGCACAGATGGCATCTCCATGGTGGCGGCTTTGGCCGGGGCCGTCCTGAAATCCAGTGCAACGTACGTGTCCGCCTTGAACGACAAGTTTACCGACCCAGAGCCTGTCACCGACAAAACCAAACTGCAGCACGCACTCCGGGTGTGGAAGACTGACTACGACGAGTTGCGGGCCGCAGGCTCCGCACCTTCACAACAAACAGCTCTTCGTTCACTGCGGAGGCTGATCGGCAAGCTCAAGCCACTCCAAGTGACCTTGGAGATGGTGTCGCACACGCACCCGAACGATGTCCATGCCATCTACGAGATGGCTGAGCGAAAGGCGGGCGAGTGGGCACTCCTGCGCGACACGCCGACCACCGACACCCCGCCAGCGCCGACAAGCGTCTTAGCTGGCGCTGCTGCAACTGGCAAGGACGGCAAGACGGGCAAAGGCAAGGACGGCAAGACAGGCAAAGGCAAGGACGCGTGGATCCCATGCTCGTTCTACATGAGCGGCTGGTGCACCATGAGCGACAGGTGCCGCTTCTCCCACAACAACACGGGCCCCACGCGCACCCCTGGCACTCCAAGCGGCTCCTGGGGCCAACAAGCGCAACGTTTGCCCAAAGACGTCTGCAGAGTGTGTTTCGAGCCCGGCCACTGGGGCAACGAATGCCCGAACAAAGGCAAGGGCAAAGACAAGGACAAAGGTAAAGGGTTTGGCAACACCAATCCCAGCTGGATCGGAACCAGCAGCTCGGGCGGCGCACCGGGGACGCCCGTGCCGCAGCCGAGTTTCAACGAGAGGAAAAGGAGCCGGATCGGAGCCGGCAAGTTCGCACCTGTCACAGAACAGAGTTGGATCGGAGCCAACCAAGCAGGTCAATTTTCGGGCGGCGGATCGGTACCGCCCGCCCCACCAGCAACCGCAATCACATTGGATTCACTCACATCACAAGCAGAGCAGTACATGGAACACTTGAAAACAGAGTACAAAGGCACCAAAGACCTCCTGCAAAGACTGAGTGGTCAAATGGTCCGTCTCACGTTCAAGTCCATCAGCATCGGCGAGCACGGGGTTGCGTGCGACGTCCTCCGTCTGATCGCCGATTCGGGTGCCGAGCGGCATATTTTATGCGGCACCGATTTCGCGTACGCACAGAATCGGCGCCCCTTGGCGCAACCCATCATCCTCGAGACCGCTAACGGCGAGACGCTCGTCACCGAGGAAGCAGACGTTGTCTGCTGTGGCGTTCACCTACAATCTTGTCTCCTCTGCACTGTAGCTAGCTCTTCCCTCTTATCCATAGCTCTACTTACAGACAACGGGTGGGAGTACAAGCAGGGAAGGTTCGGAGCGACGCTGGCGAGCCCAGCGGGAGAGCAGTACAACTTGATCAGGGAGGGGAACTTATTCTACTTGGGTGGGCATACTTGTACCGGTTCCTTGAACATGGTTTCCTCGACGTTTTCCCCCTCCACTTTTCACTACTTGCCAGTGCGTATAGGTAACGAGGAGGAGAAGGAGCAGGAAGGGGAAGGAAGAGGAGGAAGAGGAGGAACGCCTTCCGGCAGGCCAGGGGACAGTCGTGGCGAGGAGCCTCGCCCGACTGGAACCGACCTGTTGATTCGTCCAATGCGTCCGCCTCCTGGTGCTCTCGGGGACAGTTGTGGCGAGGAGCCTCGCCCAACTGGAACCGCGACGCCGTGCATCCATCCAACGGCCAGTAGTTCCTTCGACACGTATGCCGGATTCGCCATTCGAGAAGACGCCGTCCCAGTTTTCACAAAGCTCGATTCCTGCATCGATTTCCTGCGCAATTCTGGTTCCGACACTCCTGTGTTATTCTTCCCGGAGTCTGGGCCCCATCCCGAAAAATCCGCCATCTTAGAGGGGCCCATTTTGGATCACATTCGACGGGGGCACATCGATCACGACCCAGATTGCGACATTTGTGTCCAAGCCAAGCTTCGTGCACGCCCCGCCTGGCGCATCTCCGACGAGAGTGGCGGGGGGGAAATATCAGCAGATCTGGTCGGCCCACTTCCAGTGTCCCTGAATGGTAATAGGTATGGCCTCGCACTGGTCATCAGGAAATCTCGTTGCGGATTCGCACTCGGACTACCGAACAAAGAATCGGCCACAGTTAGGGACGCTATGATAACATGTAAACTTCACCAGCGAAAGTTGTGGCGCTTCCATTCTGACCTCGGCACGGAATTTTTGGGAGAGTGTGAAAAATGGTTACGCGAGTGTGGCATTGTGCATACAGACACTGGTGGTTTTCGATCGCAGGCCAATGGCATTGCCGAGCGTCGCATCCAGAGCCTGTTCGAGCTTACCCGGGCCATTCTCCTGCAAGCTTCTGCTCCGAAAGCTCTTTGGGATGAAGCTTACCAGCATGCCAACAACATCTTCGACAATACACCCCATGAGGTCCCTGGCTTCGCCGAGAAACAGGTCCCACAAGCGTTGGAGAACCCAGACGGCACGTTTCACGATGTCTCCAAATGGCCCCCGTGGGGATGTAAAGTCTTGTACTTCGTGCACAAACCGCAACGGACCGACAAGTTCGACTCCCATGCAAAGCTCGGGATCTTCGTCGGCTTCGATTCGAAAACTTCTGGGGGAATACGGGTGGCTCCGATCACCCCGCTCGGTGCGCGGTGGGTTGTCGAGCGGCCGATCGTATGCACCACAGTGCGCTTCCGCGAGACGATCTTCCCGCTCTCCTCTCCGTCCTCGAAGCCAGTACCCTTGGATGTACCCTTGGATGTGGGAGCTGCCCCGAGCGACATCGAGGCAATATTCTCCTGGAGAGTCCCCCGCAGCCGGGTAGCGTAGCTGACAGTCGCGGCGAGGCGCCTCGCCCGACTGGACCCCCACCGGCGGCGGAGGCTCAGACGACTCCCGTGGCTGGGTCGAGCAAGAGGGCCACGACCGAGGAGAGACGACGCTGTTGGCGGGAGCGTTACCACGCGCGTCAGCGCGATCGCAGGACAGTTCAGCCGGAAGCATCTCGGAGGACCCGTCGTCGTGTTGCCCACGTAGGTGTAGAATCTTCGGATGATTTGTCAGGCTCGGATTCCGAGCCCTACCTCAGCACACCGTCGTCTCTGGCATCCTCTGGTACGTCTGAAGATGAAGACGGGTACCCGGATCCATCCCTAGAGGAAGTCGTCACGTTGTTCACGAAGACCTCGTTTCTTCAGCCCGATCTCCAAGTTGTACCTCCAGCCTCAGATATTTTCCGAGCCTTTTCGACCGAGATCGTCCGGCAGGAGCTGGACTCTGAGGTGATGTACGTGCTCGGGCGTCAGGCGGCGCACGTCACCCAACTCATGGACACGAGGAAGTACCTCAAGACCCCTCGTGGTGTTGAGGCTGCGGCCCAGGAGTTCGCTCGAATGATGGAACACCCTGTGTGGGCACCACCCCAAGAGCTCGACTCGATCCCGGATTCGGCCCGCGTCGTAAAGGGCAAACTCCTCATTTCAGAGAAACACTTCGAGCTCCCAGCGGCCCTCCATGAGTGCAAGGCCCGATTCGTCGCTATGGGGAACATTCTCTTCAACAAACACATGCGCGTCGTGCGCTCCTCCCCCGACCTGCTTTGGTCTCCTGTTACCAGCCTGGCCGGAGCTCGCTTCGTGCAGGCACGCAGCCTGGCCATGGGGAGGGAAACCGAAACCATAGATTTGTTGAGTGCGTACTTGCAGATCTTCCTCGGGGGTGACATCGAATACTACATAATCATGCCAGCTGAGGTCATAGACATTCTCCCTGAAGATGTCCGTCGTCTTTTCCGTTCTCTGAAAATGCCAGTTTGTAGACTGAAGCGTGCTTTGTATGGTCTTCAACGGTCCGGCTCCGACTTCATCGCTGCGTTTACGCAGTGGTTGATGTGGAACGATTGGCAATCGATGGAGGAAGAACCGGCTGTCTTCTATCTCTGGCACAAGGACAACGACAAAGAGGCCCTCCAGCGGGCTTTGAAACTTAAAACTTGGGTTGATGCTGAACTCCAAGGTGGCCGGAATCCGTTTT